CTTATTGTAGGGTGGCTGCAAGTCCTGCCTGGGGCAGGGGGAAGCGGCAGCCAGCGCCTAGGGTTTTCAGAGCGTGGGGTGCTGGGGATGGGGCAGTGACATGTGGAGATCCAGGAGAGGGCAGTGAGAGGGGAAGAAGGATGCAGGGGGCTATGGCCCCAGGAGCAACCTCATCACAGTCCTCTCCAGCTCTGGGACCTGCCCGCCATGTGGCCCAGCAGCAGCCCCCTAGCTGCAGCTCCAGCCCGGGGGAAGGGCTGAACCTGTCCACTGGAGTGGCTCTAGTCACGCCACACCAAAGGTCAGGCCATGGCCCTTGGCCCTGGTTCTAGCCTCCAGCCATGGCAACAGACACAGTCCAGGCCCCAGCCCCCACAGCAGCTGTGCAGTCACCACGCAGCCCTGGCTGCAACTCCAGCCAAGGCAAAGGGCTGAAGCTGAAGCCAGGGCTGTGTGGTGGCTGGCGGGCTGGCCCCGGCGGCGGGGGTCCCACATGCTGGAGCCGGAGCCAGAGTCGCAGCTCTGCCCCCCTACTCTTCCATCAAGCCCAACTCCACCTGCAGCAGCTCACTGTCCACATGCAAGGAAGGTGAGTGCATGGCTTTGCTGAGGCGGTGAGTGGGATTAGAATTCTTTGTGCGCATCCATGCAGGCACCCACCCTAGCGGAAGCTTAGTCTATGACTAGATATTTGAAAGTCATGTTATTTGCTTAAGTGTATTTTGAAAGCCATGTTATTTTTGTTAAATGAGGAATTCTTTAGAACGTGCCTTTGATTGTATATTAACCTTATTAACACTACTTTATAATCCGAGATTGTAAAGTACCTAATTTTTAGTCCAGACATTAAGGGATTTATAACCCTGAGTAGGTTTTGAATGTGTCATTCCTATATCTAGTAGGACAACAAGCACTTTTACATTTAAAATAGCTTATACTTACAGAGGATTGTTATAAACAAAGTTACTTGTATTTAACCAATGAAAATGCCTATCTATTCTATTTTCTCTATGTGATCTTAAAGAAGGCAGGAATAGTTTTCTCCATCTTCATCTGACTCCTTGCCTGCTTGTCCCTCATCAGCTCAGAGTTGTACACTCAGAGTATGTCTAGACTACATGGCTCTGTTGACCATTTAAATAATCCGCCACTTCATTTACATCAAAATGGCTGCCGCGCTGTGCTGATCAGCTGTTTGGCAGCATAGCAGTGCAGTCTGGACGCGCCATGGTCGACAAGGGAAGCCTTTGTCGACTGCTCTGGTAAATCTCATTCCACGAGGCATAACGGAGTGGTCGACGAAGGCTTTGATTATTTAAATCACCGCTTCATTTTCCTATGTCCAGTAAACTCATCTACATGGCTCTGTCGACTGAGTCTAGACATATCCTCGGTGGGATCCGTAATATATGTCGAAATTTTTTTTAATTAAAAAAATACTATTAAACCTCCCCTACCCCCCAAAATATGAACAGTAGAATTGAACGAGTCTAGACATATCCTTAGTGGGATCCATAATATATGTAGAAATTTTTTTTAATTAGAAGACTATTAAACCTTCCCCATTCCCCAAAATATGAACAGTAGAATTGAACATTTTGGGCATGTCTACACTAGAAAATTATTTTGAAATAACTATTTTGAAATAGCATTTTCCACGCGACAGGAGAGCCTCAAAATTAGTCCAAGGTACCTTACTGTGGATGTGCTGCCTCAACTTAAAGTCCCAGGAAGCACTGGGGAGTAATTACTTTGAATGACTCTGGGTCATAGTTATTTTCAACATAGTGACACTGGAGCGTCCACACCACTGCTATTTTGAAGTAACTATTTTGAAATAAGCATTATTCCTCGTGAAAAGCAGGAGTTATTATTTAGAAATAAAACCAGCTCCTTATTTCAAAATAATGGGCTTGGTAGTGTGGACATTCAACTTGTTTTATTTTGAAATAAGGGGAGTCATTTTGAAATAATTCTCTAGTGTAGACCATGGCTTGAGAAGTCCAATCTGCAGCAGAAATTATCATAATATCTTTTAAAAAACTAAATGCTATAGAAGTGAATGAGTAGATTTCATAATTAAATTCAGTGTGAAAAATAATTCTTGAGAGCACCTCTGCAGAGTCACTTGAAGGATCAGAGCTTTAATTACTAACAGTTTTAGTCAGAATATGCAAATAGAACATGCCTTTTCTGTTGCTGCTAGAACTCCATATTATTCTTATTCTTATTACTGGCAAATAAATTGCATATTAAATTAACAGGCTTTGTTTTGTTTTAGGTATTAACTTTTAAAGAGATCAACTGGCAAATGATCAGAATAGAAGCAGATGCAATCCAAAGTTCGCAGCATGAAATCATGAGTGCTCCAGTTCGACTGATTACTAACCAATCAAAAATCAGAATTACACTTAAAAGAAGGGTACATCTGAAAACTTGTGAATCTGATGTTTATACATTCTTTCATTTTTTGTGTGTTTGATGTTTATTTTTACAAAGCAGTCCGTATCGATAGGTATACGGCAGAAGTTATGGCCATGAACTATGTAATATATGCACTCTGTTCATTTAAGTTATTTCATCTTATGTTTGTTGTACTTCTGAGGAAACATTATCAGAATAATTTATCAAGTTCTGATTATAATAGACTGATGCAATGAACAAGGAATAGAGCAGGCAAAATGTGAAGACTAAGACGTGTTACAAGTTTAGTGAGTCGTCTAATTTGGCCTGTATTGCCTTTATTTGTGATTATTTGTGATATGAGGAAAGAACTCAGCTTTATTTCTCAGGGTTTAGATTGAGTATACAGGGTTGTCAGTTAGAAAACAGCATCTTTTTATTTGTATATTGAGCATATTTAATATAAAAATCCTTGAGACACACACATAGAACCTCATATTACTTTATGGTTTTATTTGCTTAGTAGGCAGACACACTTTAAAAGAAATATTAATTTAATCTTATAGAACCTCATATTACTTATGGTCTTATTTGCTTAGTAGGGAGATCACACTTTAAAAGAAATATTAATTTAATCTAATGGAACAGTATCACATTTCTTGCGTACCATGCCCTGTGTATTTTAACTTTTCAGATATTAATTTCTTACAACAAATGCAATATTCCCATTTAATTTTTATTTTTTTAAATTTATTCAACAGTTGAAGGATTGCAATGTAGTGGCATCAAAACTTGTTCTAATACTTGATGATTTGCTATGGGTTTTAACTGATTCCCAGTTGAAAGCTATGGTACAGTATGCCAAATCTCTTAGTGAAGCAATAGAGAAATCAACTGAACAAAGAAAAAGCTTGGCTTCTGAACCCACACAGGTAAGCTAATTGATTGTCATCGTAAAGTTTTAGTGAATACAGATAATCTAACACAGATAATAAACAATTAGTTGGTTGAATTTATTGTGAAGAGCTCTTCAGTTATTCATTTTTGATCAGGAGTACTAGATTTTGCATCTTAAATCATGCTAAAATTATTGTAAGATCTGTAACTTTGAATATTGTGAAAAGGAAGTAAATTATATTAAATCATGAATATGGAATATGTAGATTTCTGTGACTAATAGTTGACTAAATGTGGTCTATCTAGGGTTGCATTTACAATGAAAATCATTTTCTGCTTTGGAATTCCAAAATATATTTAATTGGAAGATTTACCTGGTGTTGCTCAGGTCTTTAACTCAATTAATTTTTGTTTTTTGGGAAAATAAAATGAAAATGTACTTGCTTCATTTAAATCATTATTCTGAGGTGGGATTGAGGATGAGGCTGCCCTAGGGGAAGAAGACTACTTCAGCCCTCTCTCACCTCAGCAGCTTGGGACCAGGTGAGAAGCACCTCTCTATGGCTGCTGCAGCTCCAGCGGGCATAGCCGAGGGGAAGAGATGCATGTACCTTGCTTGGGGCAGGTCCAGTTTTGTCTGTCATCTCCACCCCTCCGCCAGAGTGAGGAATGCAGTAAACTGTGCACTTCTCCATCGAGTGGCTTCCCTGAGGGTGCTCCACATCACATGTAGAGCATCTCAGCGCCTCTGGACAGAGTTCTGCTAGCAGTGTTTCAGCGGGGGCCGCGCATGCGCAGAGTGCACTAATTCCCTGCCTAGCTATGCATTGGGCCCCCCCCGGCTCCCTTCAGTTCCTTTCTCCTGTCCCCGACTGCAGACAGAATGCAGCAGTGCACTCTCGCCTCAGCACATTCGACTGCCCAGGCACCTCAGGTGAACAGCGTAGTAAGCCTGAAAGCACTTCAAATGCTGCACCAATAGAAGGAAAGTGCCATTCTGTGTCAGCCTCAGTAAACCCGGTAATGTTGACCCCAATGACAGCTACACCGGTATCTCAGCCACTCACGATGGCACTTAGTGAACTGTGGAGGGATTAGAGCACTCTCTAAATGCTGCTCCCTTTTCTCAACAGTTAGGGGATACAGCTCTCTCTCTCTCACCTCTGAGGTAAATTCAGGCTCCTCCCACTTAGCGCAGCCCTCCAGGTCACAAACTCTTCTCGTCATGTACAGGGAGAGTAAAGATGTGTAAATCGACTCAACCCTTCACTCTTCTATTCTGAGTGAAGATAGATATTTTCACTCATTGCTCTCTAACAACTCATATCCACAGTCCCCCCCTCTCATAAGAGGATGCGGCAAGCGCCCTGTCACACACCCCCCACAATAGGGACATATGGGTATATGACACCTGACCTCCTCAGAGCGCATATGGGCTCCATATCTCTGGATGGCCCCTCCGCTGGCATGCCCCCCACAGTGGCAACTGTGGAGCCATCATCTATATCAGCACAAAAAGAGATCGTGAAAAACGAAACACATCGAGAAGCCACTCCCTCGCGTCACTGAATCTCCTCATAGAGGCATGGAGAGTGATAATGACAGCCAATACTCCCCCAGGTCAGCCACAGCCACTCTGGCTCACACCTCATCATCAGCAAACATGGGAAAAGCGATACTGCCTCCCACTGGCAATACCTCAGAAGACGTAGCCTCTTTCCAAGATCTATTTAAACATGTAGTACAAGATCTAAACATATCGGTGGAGGAGGTATAAGACGCTCCTCACGACCTCACTAACATCTTACAGTCCAGCTCTTTTTCAAAAATTGCTCTCCCTATCAATCCAGCCATTCTCCAACCTGCAAAAACTTTATGGCAAACACCTACTAGCAGAAAGGCGGATCAAAAATACTTTGTGCCACCCAAAGACTCTGAGTTTCTCTTTACACATCCCACACCTAACTCTCTGGTGGTGGACTCTGCACACCAGACAAACAAACAACAAAATCGTTCAACCCCATCAGATAAAGACAACAAAAGGCTAGACGCCTTTGGCAAGAGAGTGTACGCATCTGCTACACTCCAACTGAGGGTGGCAAACTATTCAGCCCTTCTCAGTAAATACAATTACAACAATTATATAAAAATGAACACATTTATTGACGATTTGCCAGACAGTAAAAAAGGACACTTTAAGGTCATTGTCTCTAAGGGTCAAGCAATTTCGCGCACAGCACTCCAGGCGGCACTTGATGCAGCAGACACAGCCACTAGAGCTTTGGCTACAGCTGTTACCATGAGCAGGGCCTCTTGGTACAATTCCTCGGCCTTCCCGAGGCAACTTCAGGCAGCTGTAGAGGATCTGCCCTTCGAGGGTAACAGTCTCTTCTCCTCAAAAACCAATGAGCTTCTTCAGTCCATGAAAGACTCCAGGGCCATCCTGTGATCCTTGGGTATCAAGGACCCTACAATGAGATCCAGACAATATAGGTATCAGCCTTATCACAGGCCAAAATACCATCAGCCTCCCTTCCTGTACCACAGATGGGAACAACCTCCATACCAACAAAACTGTGGTCGGAACAGGCAGCAGAGGCAGTGGTCTCAATCCAACACTCCCAACCACCAAGGACAATCCAACAAGCAAATCTGAGATTACAGTCAAGAGATCGAGAACCAGATCACCATCTCCAGCAAATCTAAACCCTTACAATCTTTTCCATTTTGGTTTACTCCCTTTCTTCTACCAATGGGAGCTTATCACCTCAGATAAATGGATTCTTCAAACAATCTCCCAGGGATACACCATCCCCTTTCTTTCCCTCCCCCGTCCCATCCCCGTTCCTTTTTAGGGACCCATCTCACGAGATCTTTTTACAACAAGAGATAAATCACCTGCTACACATAGGAGCCATAGAACCTGTTCCTTCTCAATTCCACAGGACAGGGTTCTATTCACCCTATTTTCTAATCCAGAAGAAGTCTGGTGGCTGGAGACCCATCCTGGACCTCAGATACCTAAATAGTTTCATTAAGAAACATAGGTTTAAGATGGTTATCCTAAACACAATCATTCCTGCGCTGGAGCCAAGTGATTGGTTCTCCTCTCTCGACTTGCAAGATGCCTATTTTCATGTTTCTTTTAGACCTTCTCTCAGACGTTTTCTTAGTTTTGCTTTAGGTACACGCCTTTTTCAGTACACGGTCCTACCCTTCGGACTTTCTACAGCTCCGAAAGCCTTTTCCAAAATTCTAGTGACAGTCACTGCCCACCTAAGTAGACAAAGGATCACTGTATATTCCTACCTGGGCGATTGCCTTGTAAAAGCAAGGTGCAGACAGGAGTGCCTCCGACATACTCTCATCGTATTAGACTGCTTCCCCTCTTTAGGGCTCCTAGTGAACCACCCTAAATCGATACTTTCTCCCTTGCAGACCATCCAATTTATCTGTCACAGCCAGAGCCTTGCTTCCCCCCGACAGGGCTACTCACATCAGGAATCTGGCATTATCCCTCCAAGACATGCCCACAGTCACCACTCTTGACTGCCTCCGACTGTTAGGCTATATGGCTTCCTGCAACCCTGTGGTTCCCAATGCGAGACAATTTATGAGATGTCTCCAAGGCTGGCCCCTAATGCACTACAGACCAAATATTCACTCACTGAGGGTATGTCTACACTACAGAGTTAGTTCGAACTAACGGACGATAGTTCGAACTAACTTTAATAGGCACTAGTTCGAATTTAATTCGAACTAGCGGAGCGCTTAGTTCGAACTAGGGGGCGCTCACATAGAAGGTAAAACAGTTCAGGGACTGTGGTCCCCCACGGAATGTGCCCTGAACATAAATATATTAGAACTCAGGGCCGTCCGTCTAGCGTGCGAAAAGCTGCTCCCTCAGGCGATGGGGATATATGTCCGTGTCTTCACAGACAACACGGCGTGCATGTGTCTAGCGTGCAAAAAGCTGCTCCCTCAGGCGATGGGAATAGATGTCCGTGTCTTCACAGACAACATGGCGTGCATGTTTTATGTAAACCGACAAGGCAGAGCACGGTCTCAGCCCCTGTGGAGAGAAGCCATAGCCCTTTGGAACTGGGCAATAGCACAGCATATCCAATGATCTGCATGCCATATACCTGGGGCTCTCAACACAACAGCAGACGTCCTAAGCACGGACCTTCCACAACAACCTGAGTAGGAGTTGAACCATTCAAACTTGCAAGAAATAATCAGCCAATGTGGCCACCCCTGCATAGACCTGTTTGCCACCAGATCCAACAAAGTGCAGGATATATTGCTCCAGAGTGGGCATGGGCAAACACTCCCTAGGAGATGCTCTGACTCTCTCATGGAACGCACCCCTGCTATATGCATTCTCTCCATTTCCCCTCCTGAACAAGGTCATCATAAAGATAAGGAGGGACAAAGCAAAAATTATTCTCATATCCCTGTGCTGGCCATGACAACCTTGGTTCCCTCTGTTACGCCGGATGACAGAGCCATCCAATCACATTACCACAAATCTCCTACCTCCTCTATCATCCGCAAATCAGCACGCCTAACCCTCAGCTTGCGATGCTCCATCTTAAAAGTGTGGCTCCTCAATGGTTCACTAACATAGGGCTCCAGTGCTCCCAACAAGTCCATGTAGTTCTTCTGCACAGCAGAGTGCCTGCAGCTACAAAATCATATATCAGTAAATGGGCACAATTTATACACTGCGCCCATGAGTGCAATATATCACCGCAAACACACACACTTAAAAGCGTGGCTCCTCAATGGTTCACTAACATAGGGCTCCAGTGCTCCCAACAAGTCCACATAGTTCTTCTGCATAGCAGAGTGCCTGCAACTACAAAATCATATATCAGTAAATGGGCACAATTTATACACTGCGCCCATGTAGTTCTTCTGCACAGCAGAGTGCCTGCAGCTACAAAATCATATATCAGTAAATGGGCACAATTTATACACTGCGCCCATGAGTGCAATATATCACCGCAAACACACACACTCTGGGCAATATTTCAATAATTATTGCACCTGAAGCGATTTAATCTCTCATTAGCCTCAGTCAGAGTGTACTTACCTTCTATAACAATATTCCACCCCAGGACTAAAAGCGGTTTCTGAAGGGCCTACAAGCTCCTTTCCCTGATGTGTAACCCCCACAGGAACCTTGGGCTGATTCCGGCAACTTTAACGAAACCACGGCCACACCCAAATTTTTTTACTCAAGATCCACACAACCTTTCACATAAATCAGTCAACATATCAACCTGTGTTCTTCCTGAAGCCGTTGGTTTCCATTGCTAACCATAACATGGGGAAGAAAATATCATCCCAAAGTCTACCCCATTGGATATTGACATGTATTAATACCTGCTACTCATGTAAAAACTTACCGCCGCCTGCTCCAATCCGAGCACACTCCACCAGGACACTTGCAAACTTGATTGCATACCTCGGAGAAATTCCACTTGAGGATATCTGTGCCGCTACTCATGTAAAAAATTACTGCTGCCTGTTCCAATCCGAACACACTCCACCAGGACACTTGCAACCTTGATTGTATACCTCAGAGAAATTCCACTTGAGGATATCTATGCAGTAGCACTGTGATCCACAGATCACACTTTTGCGATCGAATCTTTTACACCACACTACATTAGCAAAAGCAGCCCTGCAGACTGCACACTTACCTGATCCAAAGTCCTTACCTCCATAAGATAGACTGCTTGTAGTCACCTGATGTGGAGCACCCCCAGGGACGCCTCTCGATGGAGAAGAGGAGGTTACTTACCTCTTGTACCTGACATTCTCCGAGATGAGTGTCCCTGGGGGTGCTTCACTACCCTCCCTTCCTCTCCACTACTTCGGAAACCTTGAAATAAAATCAAATTAGAAGTAATCATGTTAGTCATGCTCCTCCGTCGGGTTCCGGAGAGAGAAGGAACTGAAGGAAGTTGGGGGCTGCGCATGCATAATCATGTTAGTCATGCTCCTCCGCCGGGTTCCGGAGAGAGAAGAAACTGAAGGAAGCTGGGGGCTGCGCATGCGCATAGCTAGACAGAGAATTTGCACGCTCCGCGTGCCGCAAATCCACGGCCCCCACTGAGACACTGCTAGCAGAACTCTGTCCAGAGGTGCTGGGACGCTCTACACCTGATGTGAAGCACCCTCAGGGATGTTCATCTCAGAGAACGTCCGTTACAGGAGGTAAGTAACCTCCTCTTCCCCTTGCTCTCTGAAGAAGGGGAACAACTAACAATGTTCCCATGTGAATCTGGGAGGGGAGAAGCTTCAATCCCCCCACCCTCGCTAAAGGACACGGGTGTGTGAGTGGGAGGGTTGGACCTGGGGCAGTGCCGGACTGGAGGGGTATGTGTGCCCCCAGACAGCTTCGTTCATGTGCCTGGTGATTCTGTCTCTTTTCTGTATGGTTTTATGATAAGCAATCCCATTCCAGGCACATCCCATTTTCCTGGCACAACCAAACCCATACATTGCTTTAAGTTATGACAAGAGGCAGATGTATCTCAATTTTAGTAGTCCTAGCTCTTACCACTTAGGAGGAGTTCATGTATGAACAGACAGACAAACTCTCAAATATATAACAGAAGACGACTTACATGCTAGAGCAAATTTTGAGAGAAAAGGAAGATACACAAATTTTGAAAGTACTGGTACAGTTTCATTTCCCTGTAGTGGTACTGACAAATTATGTTTTAATAAAAACGTTTCCTCTATCAACTCAGCGTCTCTCATTTGAATTGGGAATGAATAGTCCTATCTCTTACCACTTAGGAGGAGTTCATGTATGAACAGACAGACAAACTCTCAAATATATAACAGAAGACGACTTACATGCTAGAGCAAATTTTGAGAGAGAAGGAAGATACACAAATTTTGAAAGTACTGGTACAGTTTCATTTCCCTGTAGTGGTACTGACAAATTATGTTTTAATAAAAACTTTTCCTCTATCAACTCAGCGTCTCTCATTTGAATTGGGAATGAAATCATATGTCAGTATTTGATACCATAATCTGTTGCCATGGAGGTGATAATGATTTCACAAATAGAATATCATATTATGTTGAAAACCTGAACTTCTGCTAACATACACAGCAGGACAGACTAGCTGGGCTTTTGAGTCTTTTTTTCTCCCTCCTTTCGCTGTCCACAAAGAAGCAGAGATACTTCTCTAATGCCCCCATTGGAGTCTGAGGGTGTTGTAGCTAGAGTTGATCTGGAATTATCCATCAAGAATAATGACCAGTGAATCCACATACTGGCAAATCCACTCCACACCCTTCCATCCATTACTGCATGGGTATATAGCAGACTGACGTGATAAGAAAAAAAGATGTTTATATGAACATGAAAAGATGTTTATATGAAGGCTGATTAAATGAAACTGCTGCTGTCTAGTACCTACAGGACACCCAATGCTTCAATCAGTGATTAGGGGTTAGATTATCCAAGGCAAATATAACAATTGGGCATCCATCTCCCACTGGTTTTCCGTGGATATTGGAAACCTAACTGCACTTGTACCTGTGAAAATCTCCCCCTAGAATTGCTTTTACATTTCAGTCTTAAAATGTTTGAAGTTAATGCTTTAAGGAAAAGTTTCTGCAAAGTTATGTGACTTTTAATCTTTTCAGAGTTCGACCTCTGTACCCACCTCTCAGCAAGTGAAAACCCATCAGGCCTCAGTAACACCTGATCAAAATGATGCAATTGTAAAACTGTTCAGTGATTTTGATGTTAAGGAAACTTCTCATCACTTAGTAATTTCTCACTTGGACCTGCATATATGTGATGACATTCATGCTAAAGAAAAAGGTAACAACAATTTCCTTTTCCAAAATAGTTTTATATCTCCAAATTTATTGTAAATTAGAGGAGAGATTGAGAAGTCTTCTGAGGTTTCTAGAGTCTCTCTTAGATGACCTGAAAAAACTACTGTAAAATCTCAAGTATAATGTGCACCTTGACTTTTGAATCTTAGCATAATGAAAAAATCTGAACTCCTATATATAATGCGCACCTACACTGCACCTATATATCTATACTTCTATATAGCTTGTGTGCGGCCCACAGCCAGGAGCCAACCCACCAGCACCAAGTCCAGCCTCGCCTTCTTCCCAGAGCCACCGGCCCCGGCCTGCAGGAGAGTGGGAGGGAGGGACACGCCGCTTCCACCTACAGGCTCGCCTGGGAAACGCGCGTGCAGCCTGGGGAGTCAGCAGCAGCGTTTGAAACCTGCCCCCTGCCCCTCCTGACAGCTGCCCTTGCGCTGCGCTGAGCTCGTGCCCTGCCGCAGCCTGAAGAAGCACCAGGCAGGCAGCAAGCCAGGGTGCTGCAGCCTGGTGGCGCCACCAGCTCCTTGCCTTGTCCGTGAGCCTGGCGGGGTGGTGGCCCCCACACCGTGCTGCAGCGGGAAAGTTTCTGTGCGGAGGAGAGTGAGAGAGTTCCCCAGCCCAGGGCTACTTACAGGTTCATCGGCATAAAACTTAAAAAAATAACTCCTATGTATAATGCGCACCTTGACTTTGACCCCCCAAAAATCGGGAAAAAAGTGCGCATTATACTCGAGATTGTACGGTATGTACAGATGTACTTGAAAAGAGTCTCATGGTAATTTTTCTATTGTTTAGCATGCTGCTTTTATAGTTGATGGATATAGAAGAGATTAATAATTAAATAATCAGAATTTTTCAAAAATATTTCCTTGATAACTGCACAATGTACATGCAAAGAGCCTCATGGTAACTTTTCTATTTTTTAGCTTGCTGCTTTTATAGTTGATGGATATAGAAGAGATTAATAATTAAATAATCAGAATTTTTCAAAAATATTTCATTGATAACTGCACCAGCAACAAATTTATTGGTCTTATCTTACACATTGGGAGCCCATCTAGGCCAGTTAGGCCAGGCTACATTACGGTAAAGCAGGGGTGAGGAACTTTTTTTTAGGTCAGGGGGCACCCAGAGAAAAATCAGGGGGCTTCACACAAGTGAGGGGGAAAAAAAACCCAAACAAAAAAATACCCTCACTGACTTGGTCCCTGACTGAGAGAAAGACACTCCTCACACCAGAGCCTAGGGAGGCCCAGCCTAGTAGATATTGTGTGCTGGGAAAAAAAACCCAAACAAAAAAATACCCTCACTGACTTGGTCCCTGACTGAGAGAAAGACACTCCTCACACCAGAGCCTAGGGAGGCCCAGCCTAGTAGATATTGTGTGCTCCAGCCTCATGATGGGGCACCACGCAGGGGAAGGGCAGGAGCACCAGTGCAGGCTCCCCAATGCTGGGGAGGGGCCCTGAGCCTTGGAGGCCACATCCAGGGAAGCCGAGGGCCACATCTGGCCCCCAGGCCTGAGGTTCTCCTCTACCACCTATAAAGTTATTTTTGTGATACCTCATTTTTTGATCCATTATTTTTGGCTATGGTGATGTACTTTAATGAAAACTAGATCAGGTATCTATGTTGCTAAATATTACCTTCTTTTACAGGCTCAGACAGACGTATTACAGGAGGAGCTATGCAGCTTTCTTTTAGCCATTTAACTGTGGACTACTATCCTTTTCACAAAGCAGGTATGTAACTGCATATTTATTAATATATTTATGAGTTGTATTTTGGTTTTAAAGATTAAAAATTAGTTGTGTATACAGAAGACTTGGGCAATATTTCTACATATATGTATTTGAAATATATACATATTAGCTATTTCAAGTAATGTACTTTGGACATAAATACAATTGCGTTGGAACATTGTAATCAGTTTCAAGAGAAAGGACACCAGGTTATCAATGTATTAATCTGAAATTTAACAGAGAGCAAAGTACCAGATAAGCAGTTCTCAAACTTTGTGTTGTTTCCACATGTAATTCTACAAATGTGTTACAGAGATTCCCTAGAATTCCTTTAGTGCACTTAACTATGCTATTGTGGTACTATGGAAATGCAAAGAACTTGCCATTCAGCCATCATATTAAGTCACAGAAGAATTGATTGATACCAAAATTTGAAGCTTGCATTACTAACAATAAATTTCTTACTAGGCATTTGTTGCAGATCATTTTTGGCTAATAGATTTTTACAGAAATCTAAACATTAAAAATCATTTTTCTTTAATGCCGGTTGTTGAATTATGGCAAAAAACTACTTTTAAATTTGGGATTAGCTACAGACCAATATAGTGATGGGCTGTATATGGACTTCTTATATGGACCAGAGCAAGCAGTTCTTTTCTATTGTTCTGCTTGGAGGAGGAGAAACTGAGAAACTTCTGTCCAATGGTATATTAAAACAGAAATTCAGTACAAGCTGCTGGATAAGAGTTGATATTGTGTTGGAAGGGATTAATGACTGCCATCAGTCAGAGACCTGCTTAAAGTCAATGAGTATAGTCATAGAACCACAGATCTGGAAGAGACCTCACGAAGTCATTAAGTCCAGCCCCCTGCCCAAGGCAGGACCAATCCCAACTAAATCAACCCAGCCAGGGCTTTGTCAAGCTGAGACATAAAAACCTCTAGGGATGGAGATTCCACCATCTCCCTAGGTAACCCATTCCAGTACTTCACCACCCTCCTAGTGAAATAGTTTTTCCTAATATCCAACTTAAACCTCCCCCACTGTAACTTGAGACCATTGCTCCTTGTTCTGCCATCTGTCACTACTGTGAACAGCCTTTCTCCATCCTCTTTGGAACCTCCCTTCAGCATATTGAAGGCTACCATCAAATCCCCCCTCACTCTTCTCTTCTGCACGTTGAGGGCTACCATCAAATCCCCTCTCACTCTTCTCTTCTGCAGACTAAACAAACAGTAAGCATCTTTTGTTCAGGCTAGATGAAAGAATAGTTAAATAACCCTGTGTGTAGTAATAGTTGAAACAGTAAGAGACAATATGGCAAGGTCTGAGCAGCTGCTAAGCCAAAGGCTGGGTCAGTTGATTGGTTACAGCTGTATATGAGAGGTAGAAAGGGACCTGAAGTCAAGAGAGAGTGAATAGTCTCAACTGTTTCTGTCATTGTCCATGTCCCTGAGAAGGAGCATCAACAAAATTCCTTGGTTCACAGGACTTGCTGGAAATTATGAGCAAGGATACTGCCTTCTTTTGTGATGAAGGAAATAGTACTTTGTGTACATTCTTTGTAGATTGCTCTACAAAAATGCCTGACTCATTAGCAATCTCTTCTCTTAATGAATATAGGCTAGCCCTGAATGTAGTCTAACAACTCTAGCTAAAGAACAATTATATTTTCGAGATCTGTGAGGAGTTTGCCAATTAGTGCTATTCTTGCCATTTACATTACTGTATAATCACAAGATTTAGTATGGTAACTTTTTGAAGAAAATCTGAAAAGTTTACAGTTTTTTCAATCAGAAATATATTTCACATGGAAACGTCGTATTAGTTTTGGGCCACATATGTGTGTGTCTTGTAGGAGACAGCTGCAGTCACTGGATGTATTATAGTGATGCCACCAAAACCAGAAGCCTATGGGCCCAAGAATTATTACATGAGTTCAAAAGCAATGTTGAATTGCTTAAACAGGCTGTGAAGGATCAGAATATAGATTCTCCAACTAAATCCCCGCCTCATGATTCTCCTCAAAACATACAAACAGGTACTTTCTCTGTTCATAAATTTTATTGCTTACATTTATATTCACTGGAGGCAGCAGTGTATCCTAAATTAGGTTGTTATTTTAAATGACTGCCATTCTTGTTTCTTACAGGCAAGGAACAACAGATACATAAAGGAAATCCAAAGGGTAAACTCATGTCTTGTCCTGTTGTTGTTAGACTTGCAGATTTCAATATATACCAGGTAGGTTTTTTTTCCCAATTGGTGAATTTGAGGTCACTTTGTCCTATACCCCTGATGTATACTTAGCCATAATTTTTAAGGGGCTGATCTAAAGTCCATTGAAGTCAGCAGGACTCTTTCTATTGACTGTATTAGTTATTGAATTGGACTCTTATGGCTTGCTCTTGCTTGATATTTTTAAAAAATAATTTCAGTTTGTCATTGATTTAATGAGAGCAAGACTTGGATCTGCAAGGGATCTGCTGTAATATAGACATCACCTGAGATGGCTTATCCTTTCCTTGTGTCATGTGGAGCACTCAAAGATTCATTGTTATAGCATGAATATAGGCCATGTCTTTACTAAGAGATTTGGTCAAATTTATTAAGGTCAATTTTTTTAGCACCTGATTTTGTAAAATCAAAGGTGCATGTCCCCACTGTGCGTAAGAATATGATGTAGTGTGTCCTCAGTAGGGTGGCTATCTTTGACTCTACAGTGATCCATCATGGGTAGCTATCCCACAGTTCCTGACACCCCTTTGCTTTCTGACTTAGGCTCTCAGTGCCTGATGGGGGAAAAATGGTGCAACGGGTGGTTCTGAGTACATGTTGTCAGCCTCTCATAGTGTACTTATCTCCTCCCTCTCCTCCTCTAGAGAGCAACGGCAAACAATGTTTTCACACACTTTTACCCTTCATTATATGTGCAGATGTCATAGCAGGGCAAGCATGGATCCCATTCAGCTTCAAACTGCTCTTGCAATCATTGTAAATACCTCAGGCATTATACTGAGTTATCGTCATAGCAGGGCAAGCAATGATTCCATTCAGCTTCAAACTGTTCTTGCAATCATTGCAAATACCTCAGGCATTATACTGAGTTATGTCCAGAGTGTAGCCAGGAGTCGCAGGAGCCAGGAAGAATGTGAGGAGGGCACGAATACAGACATGTATGAAACCATTGAGTAAAGCAATTGGCAGATGCTGGCAGCAGTTGATCCTGTTGACAAAGTGGAACGTCAGTTTTGGTCCTGTGAGACAAGCCCAGACTGGTGGAGCTGCATAGTTATGCAGCTAAGGGACAATGAGTGGTGGCTGCAAAACTTTTGCATGCGTAAGGCCACTTTCGTGGAACTTTATGAATTGCTTTCCCTTGGCCTGACATACAGAAATACCAGAATGAGACCTGCTCTGACAGTTGAGAAGCAAGTAGCAATACCCGTGTGGAAGCTTGCAATGCTAAACAGCTACCAGTCAGTTGTGAATCAGTTCGGAATGGGTAAATATACAGTGGGGGCTGCTGTGATCCAAGTATGAATCGGTTCGGAATGGGTAAATCTACAGTGGGGGCTGCTGTGATCCAAGTAGCCCAGGCAATCAATACCCTCTGCTACTAAGGTTAGTGGCTCTGGGAAACATGCAGGATATAGTAGATGGCTTCGCTGCAATGGAGTTCCCTAACTGTGGGGGGGCAATAGATGGAACTCATATCCCTGTGTTGGCACCTGACCTCCTTGCTAAAGAATACATTACTGCAGGGGTTACGTCTTGACAGTGTTGTAGGCTCTGGTGGATCACAAAGGCCGTTTCACCAACATCATCGTGGGATGGTTGGAACACGTGCACAATGCACACATCTTTAGAAACTCCTGTCTCTACAGAAAGCCAGCCTACCCCTTGCTCCCACAGCTCATGAAGCCATGCACAGGCAGCCTGGACAGCAGTAAGGAGCATTTCAGCTACAGGCTGAGCAAGTGCAGAATGGTGGTAGAATGTGCATTTGGATGTTTAAAGGAAAGACTCTGCAGTTTACTGACTAGGATAGATCTCAGTGAAAGCAATGTTCTCATTGTTTATTGTATATTTATACCTGCCTCAGGAATTTCCACTACATACATCTGACTTGACTAGGATAGATCTCAGTGAAAGTAACGTTCTCATTGTTTACTGTATATTTATACCTGCCTCAGGAATTTCAACTACATACATCTGATGAAGTGGGTCTTTGCCCATGCAAGCTTATGCTCCAATACATTTGTTAGTCTATAAGGTGCCACAGGTGGTCTTGTTATTCTCATTGTTGTGTCAGCCTGCTGTGCGCTCCGTAATATCTGTGAAAGTAAGAGGGGAAACTTTATGCTGGGATGCAGAGCCGAGGCAGATCGCTTAGCCACTGTTGATGAGCAGCCAAACACTAGGGTAATAAGGAGGGCAAATTGGAAGCTTTGAAAACCAGGTTTGTGAATGACCAAATAGCAATATGCTAGTCATGTATGTTGCTGTTAACAAGGTGCCCCCTGCAATAAGTGTGCTGTCCTGTAAACAGCTTTCCCTCTCCCCCGCTTCCCCAGTAATACAATAAAGATCCTGTTGCTGAGAAATTATGCATGTTTTTATTTAGAGAAACCAAGGAAGAGAGAAAAACAATTAGTTTAGAGCATGAGCTCAGGGATTTGGGGGCGGGGGAAGGGAGGAGCAGAAACAAGAAAAAGTGGCATATTACAGTCACCTGGTTCAGCAATCACAGTTATGGGAATGACAGCCTTCTGTTTCAGGAGACATGCCTGAGAGTAGAATGAAAGGCTGTCTTTGACTGTTCCCCTGACTCTGCATTGTAGGTCGCCTGGGAAGGGAGACTATGGAACTTAGTGAGGAGGGCAGGTGGTTCAGCATGGGGTACAGGAACGCACTGTGCAACATATGCTTTGTGCCTCTATCAGGAACTTCAGCATCTTTGTTGGCTGCCCCACAAGCCTCAAAATCTTCTCCTGGATCTTGGTTTTGTGTTCCCTGCATATTCTCCTTTCCTCACACTCCATTCATATTTCCTGCAGTATTGTTCTCCTCCATGCATTTAATGGTGCCCTGTTGTTGCTGGCCAGCCAGCTAAAAAATTTACTGGGGGGTGGGGGTGAAGGGTAGGAGAAATGTGTGTAGTCTATAGCATTAACCTATGAGCTTTTGCTTGTCAGAAATTTTTTCTAGGGTGTGGGGGTGAAGTGCGGGAGAAATGCGTGTAGTCTATAGCATTAACCTATAAGCTTTTGCTTGTCGGTTAATCAGTTAATTGACTACACTATTACATCCTTTGTGTGTGATTACAAAGGAGAGCCATGATTGCAAGGGACTGTGTGATTGCAAAGGAGAGCCATGATTGCAAGGGACTCTGCTAGGAGAGGGGGAGGTTGTGGCAGCAGGGGCTCACACAGCCCAAAGTGTATCTGATACTAGGGATGTTAGGAAGCAAGTAGTCGGCTAATCATGTAGTCAATAGAATTTCTATCAACTACACAATTAGTCAATAAGGGAGAAAGTCTCCGGGAGCGACCCTCCACTACGATTCTGCAGTTTAAATGTTGCAAGAGACAGTCAGGCAGGCAACCTGACTCCTACTACATTTAAACTGCAGAGCCACAGCAGGGGAAGGTCCCCAACCTAGGGCGAGCTGGCTCCTCCCAGCACTGGCTCCTGCTTCCCCCACTTGCTGCTTCTGATACAGTCTTCTCTGATCAGTGTTCCATCTAAACTCATAATGTAGACCAGGCCTTAGGGTTTTTTTTCAATTTTTACTGTTTCACAATCCATGTTTAAATATATACTGAATTTATTTCAGACTAATGTTTAAACTGATTTAACATTTCATTATTAATATTTTACTTCAAGTGATTTTTAATCGACTTTTTGACATTTATTCTTTTTGTTTTTTGCTGCTGTTTTATTTACTGTCTCTGGTGCAGGTTCATTTTCACTTGCATAGTGAGGGAGCAGCTATACTGGAGGAGTATTTGCCTCCAGGACATAATGCCAGTGGCACTGGGGTGACATTTTGCTGGGAAAGGCAGCTTAAAATTTCAGCTCAAGTCCCACAGTAACTGCCAGCAGAGGGTGCCTGAGATGTGTGTTCATTTAAAGCCTTTTTCAGTCATCCTAATCTTGACCTTTCCTAGGCTATTGCCAGCTCTAGTCTCCCTGTTGGAGCAGAGATTACAGCTTGCTAACAGAAGCTCACATTTGAATTTAGATTTTTTTTTATACACTTAAGTAATTGTATTATATTTTATGAAATATTTGCTTTGTAGTTTGATAGAAATTTTACATTTAATTTGCTTCTTTTCAGATGCTTTATTTTCCCTTTTTGCCCTCTTTGTATTACTGCTTGTCATTGTTCTTATGTCATACTTTTGGAAATTATATTTTGCATTGTATTTAGAATTATTACAAGTATTAATACAGCTATGTACGAAATATAAGATTGAAATTATATTTTGCATTGTATTATTTAGAATTATTGCAAGTATTAATACAGCTATGTACGAAATATAAGATTTCTGAATAGGGTGGAAGAGGTTTATACTTCTGCAAAAATATAACAGAATCCAACAAAGATTGTATATTAAAAAGTTTAGCTATTTTGAAGGTCAGAACTGTCAAACAAAAGCTCTGGATGAAAACATATTTGATTTGGCAGAAATAAATTAATCCACACTCAAAGAAATCTTAAGTGATCAGAGAGCCAAAAAAATTATGTGCCAAAAGTAACACTTTTTATTGTTGCATAGTTTACTCTTGACACAATTAATGTAAAGTTTGTATAACATTTATATTGTTAAAAGTACAAGTTTGGGGAGATGTTTTTCTACTAGTACTTGTTTCTTCTGCTGAGTGGACCTCAACGTGTCATGAGCCCAAAGAATCA